GGATCCCCCCAGGGGGGCAAGCGGGGGGTCTTCTGTAAAACATCGAATAGCTGAGTAATTGCCTTCTAAATTTCTACTCGGGGGTTTTCGGGGTCGGGGATTCCGAATCTGACACTGGAAAATATCCATTAATATTAGCTTGTCTAACACTGAGAAAAATTGTCGTAGAATTGGAGAAATCCTGGACAATCCGTTCCCAAGAGACACATTTCGTTAAATCAAAGAAATATTCCTTAAAACCGAAGAATATTTCATGGATCATGGATTTTCAAAAGAATCTCTTGGGCCCGTGCGACTGCGGATAATGCATAACAATTAGGCGACAAAATCCGATTATCGACAATGCAGATCTTGTGGGTGCAGGAAGCATGGAATTACATGCACAATTGCATGTACAAATTGTTTTGGAACCAACTGTTCCAATCCTGAAATAGTCGAAAATGTAATAGATGATAGTGATGGAGACAGTGATGACAGTACTGATGATGAAAATTGTGATTGATAGTGAAAGTGTTAGATAAACATATGATAGTAGTTGTCTCACTAATTGCCTTGCAAATAAAAAGAAAATTGGTTCTCAGAATAAAGTGGATTCTTTTCGACTCATTAATTTCCTGTTAGTTTTTCTTACCCTTCTTGTCTAATCTCTGTAAATTTGCGTGTGTTACAATGCAAAGATAGGCCTACAAGATCATGGTTGGTAAGCGGATGGAGCAGTTTTATTGCAAAAAATCTGCCTTTCGATGTTTTCCAGAAAGCCCACCCCACGGGCGTCGTGAATACTTTTTAGTGTCAGAATCGGAATTCCCGGCCCCAAAAACCCCGAGTGGAAATTTAGAAGGCAATTACTCAGCTATTCGATGTTTTATAGAAGCCCCCCCCCCCTGCCCTCACTGGGGGCTCCAGGGGCGTCGGGCATACGTTTCACTGTCAGAATTGAAATCCCCGACCTCAAAAACCCCCGAGTGGAAATTTAGAAGACAATTACTCAGCTATTCGGTGTTTTACAGAAGGCCCCCCTTGCCCCCTGGGGGGCCCCAGGGCCTTCGGGCATATTTTTCAGGGTCAGATTCGGAATCTCCGACCTCGAAAACCTAATTTCTACAACTTTTAGTCAATTTTTACCATTTTTAGAAAATTCGGAAAAATTGATGCACTCCAAGATGCACTTTATGCACCCGCAATGCATCGATCCAGCCCCAAAGTGTAATGTATAGACTTTTTTCCTGATATTTTTCCGAAGACAATGTCGAAAACCGCAACTCGATCGGTTCATCAGAAAAAAATTGCTGATTTATTGTCTAACTTGCCTGGTCTATAAAGTCGTTCTAGGATGCTAAACTTGCCTGGAAGGAACATTAAAGCGCTTTTCAACTCCCGATTCTGTCACTTTTTAGATGTTATGCCATGCTGGGTATCTAAAACGTGTGACCTTGAAACATGCCGTAAAGTCCTGAATATAATATAACTTTTAAAAAGTGACAATAAACAAAAAAATATCGATTAATGAAACGAAAACAGATTATTAAGATTGTGAAAAAATTTAATGTACACCTCTGCCAAAACTTGCATTTTTATAACATCGGCAGTTTGTTGGCCTCAACCGACAAAAGCAAGTTCCTTCATAAAAGTGTAACTTTTTGACCTAGGGACGTATTCTATTGCAATAATTAATTAAGGTAATTGTTTAAATAAACATAGAATACGTCCCTGGATTTTCTGCACGTACTTAGGAAACACTCTGTACAAAGAAAAGGGACGCCATATTTCCTTGAATACCACCAGTAGCGGCTTGTAAAAATTAAATCAAATTTTTATAATAGAGCTAATAAACCGATATTTAGGGGATGATTTCTAGGCCCACATAATTAGGGGTTACCGACCCTTGATCTCGAAAAATTTGTACAGGGTGATTCACTATATTTTGACCCCCCGTTAACTTTTTTGTGTTTAGAGTTATAAAAAACTGTGAAATACAAAAGTTGCACGATTTTTTATGAGATTTTCGAAAATGGTGGTAGAGAAAGAAGTCCAAACAAAACTACCGCGGATGTTAACTTTGTTAATTTAAATGGAATACTACTCGTATAATATATTTTTATATATTTGGATAGAACGTTCCCTGTCGATCACAGTCATAGAGGGTTTGTTGAGTCCACCTCTAACAATAAGTGAGGAGATACTATTAAAAAACTAAAAGAAAGCTTTTTATTAAGAAAATAAGACATCTTGTAATTGCTAGACAATTTCTGCCTTTTTTCCAATTACGTAATGATTTACAGATTTAATTGTAATATATTTTTACATACTGACCGACATTGAAACGGTCCATAATGCGTATAGCTATTTTAACTAAATCTCACTAATTAAGCCGTGAGAAGCCTAATTACTCATGAACAATGTTATATGGTAGGTCGTGACGGTGACAGGTAATGTTTTGTTAACAACATTGTTATTGTTTGACAGCTTGTACCTACTTATTTAATCAAAATGGGTGACACAGAAGTAGGAAATTGAAATATTATTAGGAATTAAAATACACGCAAAAAAAAGTTCTTGCTTCAAATGTACAACATTTGATTTTAAGGTAGGTATCGCACGTTTATACAGTATGTCTCAATAAGTTGGAACCATATGGAAAACTTCTCTTCAGAAGTTAATAATGCTATCATTTTTGTGTCTTATAAATTCTAACGCGTTTTGAAACTCACTGGTAAACATTTCTTGCTATCAACAAATCATTTTTGTGTCAGTGCATCCTAGATTACATGTAGCTACAGTTAAATTTGCATTAATATTGTAGACAAAAAAGAAAAAATATATTTGTTTATGTAAATTGATTTAATTGCATATTTTAACGTAGTTTTAAGTTCTGATCAACTTTTCTTTATAACAATTTTCGATATTGTCAAATATAAAGGTACTTTACTCTTAAGTAAAATTCATATTATTTGACAAACCGCGTATACGACTGAAAAAATTTAATATCTAATGTTTATATTTTAGATTTTATAATATGCAGAACTTTTTACGAAAAAAAACTTTTTTTCCTAAAATTAATAATAAAAAAGTTTTCTATATGGTTCCAACTTAGTGAGACATACTGTATATATGCAAGAAAATATTTTGTTCTTTCAAGAAAATTCTTTAATTATTTAAATACGTTACATTTTTACCCAGAAATATAGTTTCTTATTTTCAAAATAAATATTTGATACTTACGGTTAAACGAATTCTGTCCTTAATTTTATGATCTACAAGGATTTTATAGAAACATGTTTAGTATTGTATAATTAATATTATAATTAAAATAATTAATTAAGGAGATGTGTATACACAGAGCCTAAGTGGCTCCATCTATCCTGCTACTTCCAACTTACGCCATTTTGTGACCTGCTACAATTTTCTTTCAAGAAAACATAAGTTTGATTATAATATGCTACATTTGTCTTGAATAATTCCTACATTAATACTAAATTTTAAATATATATATACATATTTTAAGGAACTGGTAGTTTTGAAACAAAAATGTTTGCAGTTGATGATGAACTGTAAAAGATTTTGTAGTTAAAGTCCGAGATAATAAATTTCAAAACTATAAAAGATTTGAATTAAATTATATATATTTACAAATAATATAAATTCTAAGGAAAATTATAGATTACAGCAAATATTTCACATAGTTTGACGAAAGTATATACATTTGAATAGAATAAAATACATATACGGCAAATAATTCCAATTAAAATATATGCTCATTTGATCCAAATACTTTTTTTCAGTGTAGGGCAATTTATATTGTGCATAAAATGGGTAGCCAGTGAACTACGTCGCTAGAAACAGCAAAAATGAAAAAATAGAAATTTTCTTAAAATGGCATGGACAATATGTCCAATGGTGTGAAATACGTCACTGTTTATACAGGGTGTTTAAAACATACCACTGTCTTAAATTTTTATCAACATGGATCAAAAAATAGTTAACATCAGCTAAATTTCAATCAGATTACTAAAGTTTAAAAGAACTTTGACATCCTATATCTCAGAACCTATATAAAGATGGNTTCTTATTTGTGGAAGGGCGAAATGGGCGTTGACTATTAGACGCCTTCATTATAGCCATCCTTGTCTATCACATGGATTTCTATGGCTTACTTTATCGCTCTCACGTAACTTCTGATAGACCATCGGTACTTTCCTACACTGTATAATATTCTCCTTCTGTCCTATCACGGCCTAATTAGTGTGATTTAGTTAAAATACCTATACGCGGTTTGGACCATATCAATGTCCGATATGTCAAAATTGGAAGAAATGCCTGAAAGATGTCCAACAATTACAAAATATTTTATTTTATTAATAAAAAACCCTTTTCGTTTTTTAATAGTATCTTGCTTATTGTTAGAAATGGACCCAACAAATCCCGTATGACTATGCTCGACAAGGAACGTTCTTCCACAATCGCACTGATTTTTTCATGGCAGATTTCATAATAATACATTGAAATCTATCATTTTATCATATGACTATGCTCGACAGGGAACGTTCTATCCAAATATGTAAAAATATACAGGATGTTCCATTTAAATGAACAAAGTTAACATCCGCGGCCATTTTGTTTGGACTTAATTTTTTTTACTATCAATTTCTGTTACTGTTTGTATCACTTCATTAAAAAAATATTATAAATGCTGCAACTCCGTTGGAGATATCAGGTCTGGCAACCCCTATTTTAGTTTTATATTTTGCACATTAAGTTCGAAATTTTTTTATCAAAAAAGTTCTCTCTGTGAGCCTTGAAATTAACCCCTAAACAACGGTATGGGTCTCATGCCTTATTATCAAAATATGGCCAATTTAATTTTCACCAGCCACCGCTGATCCCCTCAAACTTACGGAGTTGCTGTTTACAAGATAGCGGAACCCCGAAGCATAATTCCTTCGAACCTACATCCCTTAAGTTCCCTACCCCGCAGCTCGCCCAATTACAACCCCACTCACCTATCCCGTATCCCTTCGTGGCCTCACCCCTCGGATCCAGCGCGAACTTGTACACGTGGTCGTTTACTTCCAGATGCCTAATGCACCCCCTGAGCCCTCTCGCCACGAGAAGCTTTTCCGTAAGGCCGGTGGTGTTGCCCGGGCCGCCGATGAACAGTGGCTCCCTGAAGGTTATCCTGGAGAAGAGGCCCTTGCTGCGACCCTGCACGTGCTTGCCGCCGTTCAGCTGCAGCCACGCGTCCCACCGGTGGCGGTAGAGGGTTACGTGGTTCCACTGGTTGAGGAGGACGGTTTCCTCGGAGCGGACGACGCCCACGCCCGAGCCGCAGTCGAATCTGGAAATGAAATGTACTTACAGGACCCACATTGTGTTAACAGCGTTTTTCGAAAACTTTTTAAATTTTTAGTTAAAAAGAAAGAGGAAGAAATTCCAAAATATTTTTCATAAGTGCCAATTATAAATATTTGTCCAGAAGCCGACAAACGATAACTTCAAATTCTGCGGGTGTTTTTTGCCAATTTGAGCAAAATCACATATAAAAAATGTTTTCTACACTGTAGAAAAATCGGTGTGAGTGAAAGCAATAAAGGTATGGAGTGAATCTATTGGGTGAAATGATTGAGTACATTTTTACTCAATATTAAGTATTTTGATAATTTTACTCATTTGTGATAATATTTGAACCAAACCTGAGTATTTTCACTCAAATATAGATAGTACCCGTTAAATAAATTCGTATTTGGTACACTTGTACCTAAATCGGAGTAAATGTCCTCATTATTGGGTGACCCCACCCCATTCCATGGTTGTCGTGCGTTATCTTTGTCTATTCCCATCGTCCCCATTAGGTCAACTCGTGGCGTGGTGTATGGCTTGTCGTGCTGGACAAGTATCCGTTTATACGATTATTTTGGGTCGAAATATGCTTCGTTTCCGAGATAGAGTGTTTAAATTTTAATTTTTTATTTATTGTTATTAATTATTTCAAAGAGTTTTAAAGATATTGACCCAAAATTTGAAAAACGCTTTGGAGGGATAAATGTGCATTTTTTGGGGTGATCCGAATATTTCTACTTGCACCAGTGGTGTTCTTGCGAGAATGCTACAATCTTCTTTGAAAAAACTTTTTCTCGTTTTGATATTTTTCGCCATCAATTTTGAATGAAATTGGTCTCTTCAATTTTTTTCATAGAATGCACCGTTCTTGAAGAAAAAAATAAAACATATTTTATTGCAAGTTGTGTATTTTTAATTTCTATTGATATGTTATCTAGTAGGTTCCTGTTAATATCTCTAAATAAAATATAACCATCAAATTTCGAGCCAATATCTTTAAAACTCTTTGAAATAATTAATAAAAATAAATAAAAAAATTAAAATTTAAACTCTGTATCTCGGAAATGAAGCATTTTTCCACCTATGTTTATTAGTCCAGGAAATATAGAGTTGGACGCGACTTTTTGTTTCGGCAAGCTGAATTTATCACTATAGATTTTAAATATTATGTACAATAAACATATTAGTTTCCACAGTCATAAAAATGGGGGGAAGATTGTTTACAGGGTGGTTAATTGTATAATTTTTACGTAAATTCACGTTTTTCGCTTATAACTTTTTTCCGTTAATTTCCACGAAAAAACAGTATAGTACTTTTTTTTTCATCTTCAAAAGACTTACAAAACTATATCACGCTCGTGCGTCGTATATTTCATTTTGCAACTAAGGCTAAAAAATAAAAAAAATTCCATGTTGCAAATTTGAAATTAAAAAAAATTATAGATTTCAATGTATTATTATGAAATCTACCATGAAAAAAATCAGTGCGATTGTGGAAGGTCCTCGGGATCGTCCAGACTAATAATTAGTTGATTTGTTTATAAGGCCATAACTTATAAACTATTCAACTTACCAATTCCAGATTTTGTGTGAGTTATTAGACAGTGATAAGGAATGAGAGGATGCGATTCTAAAATGCTCTGGTAATTTATAAGCTGTACGCAGTTTATAAATGTCTAATTCAAAAATCATAAATAAATTTCTTCTCTTTATAACTTTTGATCTAATCAATATTTTTTGACGCTCGAGAGCTAGTTTTGTAGGTCTTTTGAAGACGAAAAAAAGTACTTTACTGTTTTCTCGTCAAAATGAACGGAAAAATTTATAAGCGAAAAACGTGAATTTGCGTAAAAATTAACCACCTTATAAACAATCTTCCACCCATTTGTATGACTGTGGAAATATGTTATTGTACATAATATTTAGCATCTATAGTGATAAATTCAGCTTGCCGGAACAGAAAGTTGCGAGTCTTTTTCACAAAATAACTTCGACAACCACCCCCTAAAATATTTCGCACATGTTTACAAACGCCCTGTATTGAGTCTCTACTAATACTTGATTAAATAAACGGATAGTCACCTTGTTAATATACTACTCTGTCACTACGTAAAGAAGATAGGAACACATTTAGGAAAATTAAAACAGGTAATATTAAAAAGTTATGAAATTGTACCAAAATACGATATGTTTCTACTCTTTTTTTATTATCAGTAAATTATTCCAATGAGCAACAATATTAAATCGTGAACAGTTTAAATTTAAGCAAAATCCGATCCTGCGTCAAACGAAGGGCAACGGAAATTAAATTCCCCTTTTCAGTTAAAATTCCGTATTGCCGCCCCAGAAAAGCTGCTACTACTAGTTCACTTCAAACCTGGTATAATATGACGGAATGGTAAGAAGACAAAACAACAAACTGCCATGTTAATTCGGTGAAACGAGAATGATGGAATACATTTTTATTTTGGTTTGTGAAGTCTTTTCGTATTGTAAGTGTATAGCTCTATAAAGTTATTTTTCTACAAAACTTTAATTGTCATTTTTGATGTTAAAAATGTCATTTTTTGACACGCGTGTTAAAAGTAAGTTACTTTTAACAGTTTTGTAGAAAAAATAGTGTATGATATACGTGTTAAAAGTGATTTTATTTTGTTCGTGAAGTTAAAAAACTCGCTACGCTCGTTTTTTAATCATCTTCACTCACAAAATAAAATCTTACTTTTAACACGTATATCATAAATAGCTATTATTCCAGTTTTTAGTGACGATACAGTGTATGTTTGTATTTTATTGTGTAAAAGCTTATATAAAAATCAAAAAAGAGTTGATATGGTTAGAGTCTACTTTTTGTCAGGAAAACGCGATCCTGTTGCAAGAAGACGATATCAGATGGATTATCCCGACCTATTAGTATCGAACAGGATAATGTTCGTAAAATTGATTAAACATTTAAGGGATTACGTGAGTTTTGAACGCCAATACGCTATTGTTGGAGGCGAACAAACTGAGAGAGGTAGAAACTTAGAACTAGAAATTGTAAACGTCGTGGAAGAGGATCTTGGTACCAATACTCGAAATTGTGTAATTTTCAGTTACTAGTTACAAAAATTGCAAATACTGCTGGTTGTCACTCGCATAAATCACATAAAAACCAGCTAGCATATATTAAATTGAAATAATTATTGTGTTTTTATGATAATAATACTTTTAAATAAAGTAAAATAATATTTCTGATATTAATTCCCGTACAAGCAATTCCTTCTTGTTGTTTATTTTATTCATCGCTAGGTATTCAAGTAGAAACAAAATATAATCGCACAAGAAAACTGTCTCCTAATTAAAAAGCAGAGCGTATAAGAGTTTAAGTAATTAAATCTAGAAGCGAAGAAGGCTTTAAGAAGTAACGAAAACAATTTGATAATCTACTTATTCGTCGGCCCCACTTTTTCTTTTTCATTTCCTTCACTTGTAAATACTAACTAAGAGAAGACAACTGAAAAATTGCATAATTAAGATTAAGGAAAAACTTGGTTTGTTATTCGCTCGGGATTCGAGGGGTATTAAAGTTTGATGTTTTTTTGCTTGAAAAGTGAAATTAGAATGTCCAGAGTAAATAAAGGAAATATTCAGAATTAAATGACTACAGTTTGCATTTTATTTTAATCATTTTGCCTTCTTTAACAAACTGGTTGAAAAGTGTATGAAATATTCCCTCTAGTCTTTGTTTCTCACCATCAAAGACTTCTTAGATAGATGAATTTATAAATAGTATATTAAGTATTAATGCCAGTAAAATGATATGTTTGGAAATCGAGACTAAAATATCCAAAATTAATAAGATTCTTAATGATCAATATTCAATAAATTTGATTAAAACAAAAAAAATAATATTTTAAAATATACAGGATGTCCCGCATAAGAACCGACACAGGACAGGTGCATGTAGGGGTGTTCAAAATATTGTAATTTAACCAAACTTACCTATATACAAAGTTGTACCCCTGAGGAGTTATTATCCTTCAAATTGGGGCCCTAAATTTAGAAAAAAATTAATATCTCTGCAACACTTTACCGTAGAAGAGCCAAATTTGATACATGATTTAGGTTTATTACTGATCTTCTTTGACTATGATTTAAAGTTAATTGAAACACTACAAGGTGTTCATTGGGGATGACTCACCCCTAAAATTGACACGCATTCCGAAGTAGTTCTGCCAATATTTTGGAAAACTAAAGAATAGACCGCCTAGCCGGGTGTATTGGCCGGCGGATTTCGATGTGCCGAGTCAAGCATCACGGACGTGGGCCGGAATTTGGATGGGTGACCTAAGGCAGGCTCGGGGACGTGGCTGTGGTAGCCTACCAGAGACCTGAGTCGCCCAACATTTGCCGCACGCGTGTGGTCCCCGATAAATGGTAATGAGAGCAGAGCAAGAAATCTCTGTATCTCAAGACCATGCTATCATACATAAACTGTACGAGACTTTGCCACCAAGCCATCCGTGTAGTAAATAAGATGGTTTGAAGAAAAGTACTCGAGTAATGAAGGAGGGTGAACAAAGGGCCTAATAAGGCCTAAGTGCCGTGGTGGAAGACAATTCCACCACCCCTCCGACATACATATAAGAATAGATATTTTAGGCCTTAAAAGGTACGGTGGGTGGCGTTTGTCCTCTGTAGCTGAGGGATATATCGAAAAGTCTGTGGAGAATAAAGATCAATTTTCAAACAAGATCTTACATGGAAATTTTCGAGGAAATTCTACGGCGACAGAAAGCGATATCGCAGCCTAGATTGTTATTACAAAATGTGCAGCAACTATAGAATCATCAGAAAAGAACGTTTTAAACTCGAATTTTATTGCTCCAATGAATTTTCATAACTGTTCAAATTGTAATTTTGTCTTTAATAAAAATTGATTTTTAAAATTCTACATTTACTAGATTACTTACCACCTCCTAATCGGTAAGTAACACATACCGATCGCTAATTCGT